TTATCTAGTCTTATGGAAAGGATACCCTCTGTCAGAAGCATCCTGGGTGGAAGAAGCTGATATGAATGCACCCTGTTTAGTCCAACCGTTCCATAAGAGATATCCAGGAAAGCCAGGGGGAGGGAAATCAAAACCAGAGAGGCAACATTACTAACTCTGCTTTGTTTGCTTTCCAGGGGGAACCCTGGTAGGGGGGGTGGCATGTCGTGCCCTGACAACCCCCCCAGTATACCTCATCACCCTCCTGCTGACCTGCCTGAAAAGGACCTGTCCCTGGTTCAGACGACGCGATTGCTTTCACCATTCAGTGGTGTCGGCCACCTAGAGTTCTGGCGGAGCTGCAGCAGGCAGATGATGTCATCACTCGGTGTCTCGTAACAAGCACAAGTGCAGACGGAGGGGCTTTAGGACCTCGCAGGGACCGACAAGAGACTGAAGACTATTAAAGAGAATATGGCCAGAGGGACTCTTGGGAGGAACGGAGGATGCGGGGCGCAGCAATTACGTGTATTTATGTGTATTTGACTGGATGCTGGCTTACAGGGAATTGGCTGGGTGGGGTTGATTCCACTGTGGGTGGGGCGAGTAGAGTTCGTATGTAAAGGCACGGGGAACAGGCAAGTTTCAGTGCTGACTTTTCCCATCTATGAAGCTTAGTAAAGTTTGTTTTGTTCATCGTTCTGTTTGTGGCTTTCCTTTCCATTGCGGAGCACCAAGCTAGGACCACGTAACACCTACTACTTCCCCTGCTAGTGTTTCTATCTTTTTTTTTGTTAATGAACAGGATGGCTTATGTATAATGTATGATTTATTAGATCTAATAAATCAAATTTTCTCAAGAGCTCATGGCAGCACACATATTAATCTATTTTTTCTTCATAACAAATCTGTCAGTTATATTGGGCTATGAGATAATATCTAGTTCAAAATCATTTATGCCAGAAGGTGGATTAAATTTGGGTCTCCCTGGTGCTAATCCAACAGATAGAATCCATTTCTCTTTAACCATCTCCCATTAGGAGGCTTTAACAAATTGTTTTTAAAAACAGTTCTTAACTTTGCTAAACTAACCATAACCAACATATCTTATAAAGAAGGGATATGATCACATGCAGTTGCCCATGACTTTTGCTATCCTGTCACTTATCCAACCAACCAGAAATATCGTTCTTTCTACTGTTAATAAATCCCAAGACCAGACAGATAGTAAAGAAAATAGAAGAGAAAAAGAGATTAATGACTACCAGACCAATAAAGCTGTTGAAGGTTTACTGTTTCCAGAGGAAACCAGGGGGAGCTCTCTTTAAGTAATTGTGAGTGGGAAGAAGGCTAAAGTCCCACTGAAGAAAGAAAAGTACAGCCATGGGAAAAATCTACCCAATGCAAGTAACTCTGTAAAAAGCTAAAGAAAAGAAAGGAAAATGATCATATATGGCTAGCCCAGAGGAGAAAATCCCACTTTGATAATGTCAGTCAACCAGCTTAACTAACCCTCTTATCTCTACTTAGAAACTGAATGTAAAGGTAGCATTATTCATATTTAGTTAAACTACTTGAATGAAACACTGTATTAGGGCATATATCAAGACCTCTTTTTTTGCCACAAATTCTATAAGCAACAAACCATTTAGGGAGAAGAGGCCTAAAAAAAAGAGGGGAGGGAAGTGATATGTAGTGATAATTCCAGCTAAGAAAAGAAGAGAATCAACACAAATGGCAAATCTAGCCATCACCAAGAAAAATGAGAGTGGGGGAAAAGAACCTGATGTTTTTAGATCAAAAGGGAGAAGAAACTGAAAATAGAGAGAGAAAAAATATAAGGAATGAAGCTGATTGTAAGAACCGGTGGTTCCGAAATTGAAGAGAACAGTTATGTCAACAAAGGTCACATCCTTTGTAAAGCAACTGAAAGAAAGGTTAGGTTCTGTTTACTTATTAAGATCAGAGAAAAAACCTAGAATGTGTAATTAAGTGCTTTGTTTATGGATCCTACAGTACACAAGTCTATGTGTATATTAGCTTAGACCTGCTTTCAATAAACTCATCTTGCTGAGCCATATCGGGAAATGTTCTGATATGTAGGCCTAATCCTGAATGAGAGTTAAATGTCTGCAAGCTGAGATTTGTCTTGAGGAGCACGATGACAAAGAATTAAATCTAAAAAAATAATGTTGGAAAGTTTTTGAACTAGTTTGGAGCAAAGAGATACAGATAGTCCTCAACTTACAATTATTCATTCAACAGTCTTTCAAAGTTGTGATGGTGCTGAATGAAAGGACTTACAATTAGTCCCTAAAGTTATGGTTGCTGCGATGCCCCTGCAGTCACCATCTGGATGCTTGGGAACCCATTTGCACTCAGAATTGGTTGCCAAATGCTCTATGATCATATATTTGCAATCTTCCCTGCTGGCTTTTCCAAAAAGTCAGTGGGGAAGCTGGCAGGGACTACACAAGTTGTCGCCTGGTGAGAAGGACTCCCTTTTGCCTCTGGGGACTGACTGAAAATGCTCCATGCTGAAATCCAAGCAGAATCTTCAGCTCTGTATCTTTTTACATTTGTATTAGTCTTTATATTTTTTCCTCTTCAAAATTATAAGAAATAAAGTCATTGAAAAAAGTTTTAGAAGAGTAAGAAAAAGAAATAAAAACAGACAATTAGTAGGTAGTAATATTTGTCATATGCTGACAATATTTTCCATTTTTGCTTTTTAAGAATGGGGAGGCAGGTGATGCAGGGTGGTAGTACGGTGCCATCATTTCCAGAATGATTGGCTTATTTTCAGAGTTTGGATAGAAGATATATTTGTTTGTTTTTCTGGCATATTAAAAACAAATGAGGGTTTACACATTTGTTCACAGTTGTCTATCAGTGAAAAACAAAAGGAAACGGCAGGTTCATTTTTCAGCAATACAGGAAAAAAGATATCAGTTTGACAATACACGTATTAAGGAGATACAAAAATGGTAGGGTATGTTATTTTTAGCTAATATATTATGTTCTACACAGAAGAATTTAGAAATTATGCAAAAATGAAATGTGATACTTAATGTGCTTATTACATTGCAAGCAAACAATCTGTAAGATTGTTACTGTGCCTGTTAGCCTAATTTTATTAACACTGCTCCCCACTCAGACTCATCCAATGAAGGAGAATATTTGTAGCAGAGGGTTGACATGAGGGGTCCTTGGTGTTCTCTGAGCTTGCTTGTTTTCTTGCCAACATTTCATTATCCTAACTAGGTATCATCACTAGCACTGATGATGTTACCTAGTTAAGGTAATGAAACTTCTGCAAGAAAACAGGCAAGCTCAAAGAGCACCAAGGACCCCCCACTCAGACTCTTCAATCTATTATTACAGATTGTACATGATATGGATGTCACCAATCCAAACCCCAAGTTCAAGCCCAGACCTTACTGAACTGGGTATGCTGCAGATCCTTCATTTTCAAGATATAGTCACAGTGGCAACTCTTTTTAAACTTCTTATTCCTGTATTTTTTTAGATTTAGATTTTTTAAAATCCTGCCTTAATTATTTTATAAATAATTCAAGGAACATAACCTACTATTCCTTCCACCTCCTATTTTCCTCACAGCCACCACCACCTGAGGTGAATTGGGTTGGGACAGAGTGACTGACCCAAAGTCACCCAACTGGCTTTCATGCCTAAGGTGAGATCAGACTTCACTTTCTACTTGGTACCTTAACCACTAAACTGATTCTCTTCTTTTTCTTGCAATCCATCGGAGTTTTCATCATCTCATCTTATCTCTGCTACAATGAACAGACCTAGTTTTTACTCCAAATATATATTTTAAATTAAAAGCCTTCAGACTGAACTTAATGTAAACAATAAGCTTATTTTTAACTACAGGAAAATGACAGGGAATTAGATTCCAGATTTCTGATCTTTAGTCTCATACGATAAGTATAGTTGCTATTTTGCTTAAAACAGAAACAGAAACCTGCAGGGGTTGTATTATCCATGGGAATTTCTGTTTTAGAACTGTAATGCTAGAACCCAGGAAAAAAATACCTGAAATTAAGAACCAGTAATTTTGTGGGTAATTTTGCCATGTGGCAAACCTATGTGGACTCCATTTCTGCCTGCACTGTACTGTATCACCAACCAGAGAATAAATAGACACATTGCAAACAAAGCTTAGGATCCATAAGTTCCAATAGAAATATATTTGGGACTACCACTGATCATTCTCAAAAAAAAACCAAATACATAAAGGGATCAAGAGTTCTTTAGAACTTTTGATTGGAATTTCTACGTTTTTTTCTTTTTCAGAAATATCCTTTCCTTTTCCTGAATTCTACATACATACATACAAACATATTTTCCAGTCTAATTAATGATTCCAATCTAATTAATCATGGCCATTTCAATAAGACTTTGATACCTGAGGTTTTTCCTTTCCTTTCCTTTCCTTTCCTTCCCTTTCCTTTATTTTTGGACTGCGGGCCTTAAGGCAATGAAAACAGTACTTTGGTAATAGTTGAATTAGAATAGAAAAATATAAAAACTGATAGAACTGCTTACATCTTTTCATAATATTCCATATTTCTCTTTCTCTCACAAAATGCATCCTTTGGGGTTCAAATCACTGATCTCTTCTGCTTTGGCTGCTGCTAGATGAAACTGAGCTCTTTTGGAACAACTGAACTGCAACACTATATTAAGGTCTAATAACATGAATAAAACAAGAAAAAGTAACAAGTGTCTTCCCAATTACCACAACTACCCCCAAACACAACAGGCAAAGGTACAATGTCTATTACTTGACTTTAATAGCTCTTTAAATCCTAAGATTCTGAACAACTGGGATAAAAGGTCCAAAAGCAATGGCATTAGCCAACAAATAAACAACATTGCCAACAGCATTCACATGCAAACAGGGAAAGTTTCATAAAGAAAATGCATTTTTAAACAGATACCTATTATCAAAATTTTCACAGATTATATAGTGTATAACGCTACCTACCTACCTCCTGAATAACACTTACATCCATATCTTTTGGTCCCTCTTTGGATGTGCATTCTTCTGATTTCTGCAACAATGGTGAGCATATTTCAAAATCAGTGTGTCCCAGATCCTGTAAGTACTGATAAAGTGGTGAATTCTAAAATGAAATGAAAAAAGCTACTTATTTCTGTTTTGTTTGTAAACAAGAGCTGAAATTAATGGTTATAGTTTACTGAAATATTACAAAATGTTAGATGAAAACAATGCATCTCGGAAACAAAAATCTCAAGAAATGACACTGGTGAGGCTACTTAAAAGCCAACTTCATGTTTTGTTATACAACGGCAGCCTTGCGGAAACATAAACAGAATCTAGTTTAAGTAGAAGAAAACTTGTTTTCTATTGGAACTACAGGTAGTCCACAACTTATGACCATAACTGGGACCAGAACATCCATTATTAAGCAATGCAGTCATTAAGTGAGTTGCGCCCAATTTTAAGATCTTTTTTTCCCAAAGTCATTCAGCAGCCCAGGTGGATATTAAATGGATATAAAGATCCTGGAGCACTGGGGAACTACCAGAGGACTGGAAAAGAGCTGATGTAGCTCCCATCAGGAAACTACACACCAATCGGCCTGATCTCAATACCTGGGAAGACTCTGGAAAAAATAATCAAACAATGAATCAGTGAACACCTAGAAGCAAACAAAGTCATTACCAAAAGCCACCATGGGTTTGTCAAAAAACAGATCATGCCAGACAAATCTTATTGCATTCTTTGACCAGGTGACAAAATTAGTGGACCAGAGGAATGCTATGGATATAATTTACTTGGACTTCAGTAAGGCATTTGATGAAGTAGACCACAACCTACTACTTGATAAGATAGAAAAATGTAGGTTAGACAGCATCACCACCAGATGGATTCATAGCTGGCTGACCAGCCATACTCAGCGTGTGGTCCTCAATGGAACTGCATCTACATGGAGAGAAGGGGCGTTGACTTACCTGAACGCCTTTTCTCAGCACGGAGATGGATAATCCACGCAGTGGGTTGAGACTGTATTCCTGGCCAATCAGATCAGTCAGCCAAAGTTGCCACGCCTGTCCTGGACCACGATTTCCCAGTCTTGACACGAGCGTAGCCATTGACTGACAGTAAGACGTTTTGGCTCAACTAAATATACCCTATTATCCTAGTCTATAAGAGTGGGTGTGGATTATCCATCTCCGTGCTGAGAAAAGGTGTTCAGGTAAGTCAACACCCCTTCTCCAGCACTGGAGATGGATAATCCACGCAGTGGGACATACCAAAGCCTATTGTCCCTTGGGTTGGGGAATAGACTGGTCCCGTGTGTAACTTTGGTCTAGAACCTGCTGGAGAACCCTCCTACCAAAGGAGGCCTCTGCAGAGGAGTACTTGTCAATTTTGTAATGGCGAATGAATGGAGAGGGCGAGGCCCAAGTGGCTGCCCTGCATACTTCTTCAATAGAAGCCTGCCTGGCCCATGCTGCTGAGGTGGCAGCGCTCCTTGTGGAGTGGGCCGTGATATGCTTGGGGACGTGCAAGGACTCCGCCTGGTATGCCCCAGTGATGCATGCCCTAATCCACCTACCGATGGTAGAGGATGAGACCTTCCGGCCCCTAGCAGCGGGGTGGAAGGATATGAAAAGCGCTTCCGAGCGTCGGAATTCCGCTGTGCGCGAAATGTAATGTCTTAGTGCCCTTCGTACGTCCAAGGTGTGCCATTGTTGCTCCAGGGGATGAGCTGGGTTTGGACAGAAGTCTGGTAGGACTATTTCCTGTGATCTGTGAAAAAAGGAGTTGACCTTTGGAATGAAGGAAGGGTCTATTCTTAGGACTACCTTGTCCCTGTGAAAATGACACAGGTCCTTCCTCGTTGAGAGAGAAGCTAACTCGGATATCCGTCGAGCTGACGTGATAGCTACTAAGAATGCTACCTTATGGGTCAGGTAGCGAATGTCACATGTTTTGAGTGGTTCGAAGGGCGCTCTGGTAAGAGCTTGTAGTACTCGTGGTAGTTCCCACGATGGATACCTGTGCACGGTTGGCGGTCTGATATTCGCAGCCCCCTTGAGAAAGGATCGTATTAAGGGATGCTTGCCCAAGGATTCACCGGGGCTGGCAGAAAATATAGTTGAGAGGGCGGCGATTTGCCTGCGCGGCGTGTTTGGCGAGAGGTCCCTCTCTAGGCCATCTAGTAAAAATTCTAGGATCTTGGGAACTGTGATCCCTTCGAGTAACAATTCCTGTTTAGAGCACCATGACTGGAAGCTTCTCCACATGGCCTCGTAGATACGGTTCGTGGAGGGGCGCCTTGATGCCTGTATGACCCTAATTATACCCTGTGAGCAAGCCCCCTTGGCTAAAATTGACCGTTCAAGAGCCAGACGGCTAGTTGTAGCCATTGTGGCTCTGGGTGGGAGATCTCCCCCTGCTTGAGGGAGATCCTCTCCGGAGGAATCCGCCATGGATTCGTGAGGGAGAGACTCCTCAGGTCTGCGAACCAAGGTCTCCTTGGCCAATAAGGGGCCACAAGGATTACCCTGGCTCTTTCCCGCAGAATCTTGTGTACTACCGCCGGAAGGAGAGGTAAGGATGGAAACGCGTACAGGAGTCCCCTTGGCCATGGGCTCCGTAACGCATCCGTCTGCTCTGCTCCCCTGGATGGGAATCGGGAGAAGAAGCGAGTTAGGTGGGCATTGGAAGGAGAGGCAAATAGGTCCACCTGGGGAAGCCCGAAGCGGTGACAGATCTCCCTGAAGATCTTCGGGTGTAGTTGCCACTCCAAGTGATCTATTGTTGATCTGCTCAACAGATCTGCTTGGATGTTTGCCTCCCCCGATATGTGTTCGGCCTTTATGGAGGCCAGATTTTGTTCCGCCCAGGCCCCCAGTAGGAGGGCCTTGGCCGAGAGCGAGCGAGAGTGTGTGCCCCCCTGACGGTTTATGTGGGCCTTGGCTGTCACGTTGTCTGTCAGGACCAGTACGTGCCTGCTTTTTATGCTGCTGTGGAAATGCCTTAACGCTAGGTGAATAGCCCACAGCTCGAGCCAGTTTATGTTGTGTCGGAGATCCACTGCTGACCAGCGGCCCTGTGTCCACTTGGTCCCCAAGTGGGCTCCCCAGCCAAATAAACTCGCATCTGTTGTGACTACTACTCTGTCTGGTTCCCTGAAGGGGGACCCCCTGAGGAGAGCTGGAGATAGCCACCACCTGAGGGAGTGTCGCACTCTCAGAGGTATGCCTACCCTCTTCCGGGATGCACTGATTTGCTGTCTCTGAAACGGGAGCATGAACCACTGCAGTTCCCTTGAGTGCAGCCTTGCCCAAGGAACTATTGCTATGGTCGATATCATCTTCCCTAGCAGCTGGGAGAGGCAGACCAGCGTCACTGACTGACCGCGGCTTACCTGTTTTACGGCTTTCCTTATGCTGCTGAGGCGTTCCTGTGATAGGTACACCTTGCACTCCTCTGTGTCTATGACCGCTCCCAGATGGAGTATTCTCGTAGTTGGGGTTAGGTGGCTCTTTGGAAAGTTCACCGAGAAGCCGTAGTCCTGCAGCAGCTTTATCACTAACTTTAGGTCCGCCTGAGATTGTTGGGCGGACGATGACTGGATTAGAATATCGTCCAGGTAGCACTGGACTCTGATCGGGATGTTTCTTAGGCGTGCTGCCAGAACCGCCAGAATCTTGGTGAACACCCTGGGCGCTGATGACAGGCCAAATGGAAGTGCCCTGTATTGAAAATGGTGCCCCCTGTAGGCGAACCGTAGAAAGCGGCGGTGAGCCAGAGAAATAGGGATATGTAAGTATGCCTCCGTGAGGTCGATCGATGCCAGAAAATCCCCTTTCCTTACGCTTCCAAGGATGGAGCGTAGTGTGTGCATTTTGAATTTGCGGTATTTTATGTAGAAATTTAGCCTTTTTAAATCCAGAACGGCTCTCCAACCCCCCGAGGGTTTTGGGATCACGAAGAGGATAGAATAAAACCCCTGGTCTCTCTAGTTCATAGGCACCGGTTCTACGGCCCGTATGTTTAGAAGGTGCTGAATGGCCTCGTTCACGAGCCTTCTCTTTGTTGGGTTCGTGGGACAGGGGCATGGGCGGAAGCGGTTTGGGGGCTTTGAGAGAAATTCTAGAGATAGACCGTGACGTATGGTGTTCCTGACCCATACGTCCGTGGTGGTCTCTTCCCACTGGGGAGCAAACCCTGCTAGTCTGCCCCCTATGGGAAGGTCTGGGTGGGAGTCATCTGGTACGGCAGAAGGGGCGGTTGTTCCCCCGAAAGGGCCGTCTTCCCTGTGTTTTCCTATTTCTTGTGTTCTGTCTGTCCCCCTGTCTTTCCCTATCCTGTCTAGCTTGGAAGGGTTGGGAATTTTGGAAGTAGTTGACCCTGGTTTCCTTCCCCAGGAGCCGGGTCTCTTGTCCTGCCTTTTAAGCATGTGTTTAAGGACCTTGCGCTTGTCCTTGTTCTCTGTCAGGTACGGCGTTAGTGCCTCACCAAACAGCTTTGCCCCTTGGTACGGAGCCGAAGCCAATTTCCACTTGGATTTGGTATCCGCCTGCCAGTTCTTTAGCCAGAGGAGGCGCCTGCTCGTGTTGTTTGCCGCCATTGCCTTGGCTGAAAACCTGGTCGCTAAAAGTGTCGCGTCCGACGCATATTCCGTGGCCGCTACCATTTTGCTGAGTTCCTGGTTAGTGCGTACGTCCTCCATGGGAACCGGCCCTGTAACTCACGGAGCCAACAGAGTGTGGCTCTGGTGAAAAAGGACGCGGAGGTAGTCGCCCTGGTAGCCCAAGCTATTGCCTGGTGCGTTCTCCTGTAGTTGGACTCACTCTTTCGGTCCTCAGCTTTAAGAGCCTCAGCAAAATCTCCTGATATGGCTGTGTCCGATATCAGGGGACCTATGGGTTCGTCCACCACCGGCACCTCCAATGTTCCCTCTAGCTCCCTTGCTACGTTAAATAGCTTCCTCTCCGCATTGCTAGGAAGCGGTAGGGAGGTTGGCGCTGCCCACTGTTTCCTTATTGTGTTTAGGAACATAGTCGGGCATGGTATGCGGTATTGAGTGGTTACCTTTTCGGCGAACGTTGGCTCAGCCTCCGTGTCAACTGTGACAGGCTCCGC